AATCCTCGGCAAACTGCCGGAGGGCCTCCATGTCTTTCGTCGTTGCTGTCTTGACGCTCTCTAGTTCCAGGGGTTATGCATGCTCCCTGCAAGTCCTCCTCGGGCGGCTACGCTGGCATATGACTGCCCGGTGTTCCCCTGATTCATCGGCTCTAGTGCTTTGATATCCTTCACGACCTTGACCGCCAGCTCGCTGGCTTTCCAAGCCTCCTTGGCAGCCGCGCTGGCTGCGCGCGTTGTGTTGGTGTTTTCCTTCAGTTCGACCGTATTCTGCTGCATAGCAATCCTGATGGTTCTCGATTCGCGGATGTTGCTCTCGTTGGCTGTCTTGTTTTCCGCACGTAGACTCTCAATAGCTTGGTGGAGGTGTCCGAGCTCGGGCAATTTCTGCATTTTGGCCAGCAGGGGGATGGTGCCAATGAGAGTGAGTCTCACGGCTTTCGGGTCAAGGGGGTGTTCGTTTGCAGTGTCGATTGATTTGAGTGCTGTCTGAAGGTGTCTGCTAGGTGTCTGCTAAGTTGAGTGGCATGCTCTCGATGGTGCGTTGGCCATGTTTGCTCCTGGGGCCATGGGGTTGCCATGGTGCCTACGTCGTTATGGGCTTCGCGACGAGCACAAGGCTATCCAGTTGACCTTTCGGAGTGTGTTGTGGCGCTGTTTTTACTCCGATTTCAAAAAACCTACCCGAGGCCATACTATGGACCTACCCATGGTGTGAGACGATGTGGAAGCGCTTTCCGCAGGTGGTGGGCTTCGATAATACATACAAGACGAATAGATACCAGCCATTCTTGTGACTGAAACCTCAATTTATTTCACAGTTTCTCCACTGGCCGTGATGAAACAAGGAGAGTCAGGAGGTATGGCAGTGTCGAAAATGGATGAGAAGGATACCGGTCCAGTTAGCTCGGTCGACCACATCGATTAATCTGGTTGGTGTATGTGGAGTCCTGCGCTAAGTTGCCGACCCATGATCAGTCCCTGCTGTGATTGCGAGTAAATGCGCTACTTGATTCGCGACGATCGGGGATAGAGTAGGGTCACCTGCCTAAATCAAGCTCTCCGTCAAGTAGGCTGTGCTGGAGTATCGGTTCGTCAACTTTGGCAAGGTTAGCTTCGGCGTTATGATCGCCCCTCGCTACTAACATCGTTGGTTGTCAGTCAGAGTTTGAGACGTATTGGCACGATCAGCTGAACCTTCCCGTCAATCATTGCCTTCAGCCTTGAAGGTCTAAATGATCTGCTTCGACTGTCTCATGAACCATGACTGCTCGCCCTGTCCTCGTAGCTAAAGTCAATTCGTCCAGCCAACAGTCGATACACTCAAGAATTTACCTATGAGAGGCGAAAAGGCAACTTGGAATTTCAACTGCTGACTTTGAGATGGACTTCAATCAGATTAGGGCGGTGAGAAATCACCACTTTACCCACGAAAAGGTATTTATATTGCTAGAATATGAATAAATGAACGACGGCCTGGCCTTCTTAGTTTTCGATAATGCGTCCAAAGTCTAGCAAGACCACTCGTAGGTAGGACGCATCTTCGCACACTATGAAGTGTATGGGTCACGTGAAATACTTATGTCGGCCAACGCAAATTGCACGGGATGAGGTTGAAATATAACAGGTCCAAAAGTACCGTTGGTTCTAGCCATCAGTAGTTAGTTACCAATAACGTCACGCCGCTGTTCGCGATCCTTTCATGAGATAAAAGGGAATAATCAGATCAATCATCGAATGTTATATTACGTTGGCTCTGACTAACAAGCTACGACAATAGACCACGCTTGAGCCTCTGCAAATTGACGTCTTGAGAATTGTTTTCAAGGCAGACTAGTCGGTCTAGACCCAAGACGAATGTCGGCAACGTACAGTAGCGACCTTCATCTGATTGAAGATGAATTGCGGCGCAGAGTCTGTGCTGGCATCTCTGAAAAGGCGGCTGAGCGGTGCGAGAGGCTCTTATGTTGTCCAGCTTTGACACACTAGTAACCAGGCTAAATGAACTTCATTAGCACTTCAGGTGCTCTGCTGCTGTACCCAAGATGACTCCTGTCTCGTTTTAGGCCCCTCTGAGGCTGTGCCGTACCCTTCGCTGTAAACAAGATCGTCGTCGGTACCTTTGTTTGTTTTTGCCCAACAGCTTATGCTCCTGAAAGTGGTGCCTTTCTCAACGTTCCTACGTGTGATCTGAAACATCGATGTTATGTAAATCTCATCTCTGAAACTGAATGGCAATGGTTTCGGACTGTCGAGCCGCCGGGCCAACCCCTAGTATTTTCGCTATTCCATACGAAGCTTGGGCGATATATCAATGGGCTGTCGGCTTCCATTCAAAATCATCAGAAGTTCCTATCATCTCACGGTAAATATGACCTGTGTTTCACCCGAGATGAGAAAGAAAAGGAATCGAGATGCTCAGGCCAAGCACCGAAAGAAGAAGCAAGAAGAAACTAGACGCCTCCAGTCAGAAGTGGACCATCTCCGGAGAAAACTGCAGGAAGTCCGTGAAGCCACGGCAAGCAACGACATGCAGCGATTGAAATATATTGTGCTAGATGAGATGCGGCCTTCGACGCCTCAGCCCGATGCGCCAAGCATGGTCGAGTTAGGCACGCCAATCACTGACACAGGGTACACCGAGTCGTCCGATCCTTTCCCGATATCATCTATCGTTCCCTCCTCGAACTCGAACCCACTCAACTATACGCTTCTCCTGCCGGAACATAACGCTTACTCCGATATCATATCTCAAACACCATTTACGGAAGGCTACAGCCA